TGAAGAACTTCCTTCTATATAGTATTTTTTATAAGGCAGGTGTGCCAGCAACATTTCTCATTTCTTGTTTATCAAAAAATGTATTAATTTCACCTTCAGTTTTGAAAGATAGTTTTGCTGGGCGTAAGAATTTTTCCACCTTTGCTTTCAGGACTTCTAATATGTCATCCCTCTGGCTTCTGGGCTCCACTCTTTCTGATGAGAAGTTTACTGTCACTCTTCTTGGAATCCCCTTGTTTGTGATGCGGTTTTTCTCTTGCTCTGGTCAAGATTTTCTCTTTGTCTTTATCTTTTTTTTCTTTTTTTAAAGATTTATTATTTATTTATTTATATTTGCCTGCGACACGTGGGATCTTAGTTCCCCGACCAGGGATCGAACCCGCGTCCCCTGCATTGTAAGGCAGATTCTTTACCACTGGACCACCAGGGAAGTCCCTGTCTTTATCTTTTAACATTTTGATTGTGATGTGTCTGGCTATGGGTCTCTGCACTTATCCTGCTCAGAGTTTTTGAGTTTCTTGGATGTGTAGATTAATGGTTTTCATCAAATTTGGGAAGCTTTCAGCAGTTTTTCCCTGAATATCTTTTTTCTGCTCCCTTTTTTCTCTCCTGTCCTTCAGATGCTCCCACGTATGTATGTTGATGAAGTCAGTTGTATCCCATCTCTCTCTGAGGTTCTGTTCCTTTTTTTCTTAATTCTTTTTTCTTTGTTCTTCCGAGTGTTTAATTTCTGTCAATGTATCTTTAAGTTGGCTAATTCTTCTGCCAGCTCAAATGTACAGTTGAGTCCCTCATTAGTTTTATATTTTAGCTAAGGTACTTTTCAACTCCAACATTTCCATTTGGTTCTTTCTTTTGATTATTATAATTTCTATCTCTTTATAGACATTCTCTATTTGATAAGGCATTGTCATCATACTTTCCTTTAATTCTTTAAACATGGTTTCCTTTAGTTCCCTGAATATATTATAATAGCTGCTTTGGAGTCCTTGTCTGGTGAATGCAATATCCGGGCCCCTCGAAAGCAGCTTCTACTGTTTGTATTTCTTTCCTGTGTATGGGTCACACTTCCTATTTCTTTACATCTCATAATTTTTTGTTGAAAACTGGACATTTAAGATAATATATTGTAGCGACTCTGGAAACTGTGATCCCTTACCTCCCCCATCCCCCCGCCAGGATTTTTTGTTATTGGTACTTGATTTTTTGTTATTTAGTGATATGGGTAGATGAATTCAGCGAGGTCTGTTTCTCCTGTAGTGCGAAGCCTCTGACGTGTACGCAAATCTCCCTGCCCCCTGGGATGGCCACAGTGTTAGCTGGGTTCTCATTGACTGTCTTTTCCCCAATCTCTCTTTTTTTTTTTTTTGTCATAATCACTCTTTTTCTTTCTTTCTTTTAACATCTTTATTGGAATATAATTGCTTTACAATGGTGTGTTAGTTTCTGCTTTATAACAAAGTGAATCAGTTATACATATACATATGTTCCCGTATCTCTTCCCTCTTGCATCTCCCTCCCTCCCACCGTCCCTATCCCACCCCTCCAGGCGGTCACAAAGCACCGAGCTGATCTCCCTGTGCTATGCGGCTGCTTCCCACTAGCTATCTACCTCCCCAATCTCTTTGTTAACCTTCGGCAGCTTTGCCTCTATTGGTATCACACTGAACCGTTAAGCTCCACTAATTGCTACCTGATTGCTCTGTTATTTTTGACAATGTCCCGGGACATAAACTGCTCCACATCTGATCTGATGAAGTTGGGCCCCTTTGCAGGGGTAGTTCTTAAGACCAGTCTTTGAGGCTTGCTCTGACCCCAGCCGGGTTCTTTTCAGCTGTCTCTCTGTTAAACTCCGGGCTGGTTTGTTTCACTTGTTCCATCAGGGAATGACCAGCCTCCTTTAAGTGACTCACCACCAAGGTCTTCCTTCTTTTCAATAGTGCCCTTAGGCTTGAACTTCCCTGCACTCTGTTCCAAGTGAGCCAGTTCCCTTAGCCTGAGCTACCGAACCCTCTGTTTCTACACCCAAGGCAAAACTCCATGCCAACACTCTGGACCTGGGTACAGCAACCTGCTTCTCTTAGAGTGATACATCTTTTCCATGAGTTGGAAGGGGATGGGAGGAGGGGGTAGTAGCCCCTTGTCTTCTCAGTTTGCCTCTCCCTGCACAGAACCTCTACCCTACAGGTGAGCTGGGGCAGGAGATTGGGTTAAGGTAAGCAAGGCCTGCCACCCCTGGATTAGAGCTTCCAGTCTACAGGTGGGGACTGGGTGGAGGTGGGGAGCCACAGGCCTCTCAGCTGTGCTTTTGTGGAACAGAGTTTCTGCACATGCAGCCGCGGGGCAGAGAGAGGGGAGATGAGAAGTGCAGTGACCAGCCCCTCCGGAGAGAAACTATTGTCCTACACTCGCAGATGGGGAGGAGGGGCCCCTTCTTGGCCACGCTCACCTGGAGGTGAGTTTCTGCCACACTGAGCTGGGGGAGGGGACGGGACAGGTTGTGGCTTCAATGCCACAGACTCTCACTGTTCTTAAAGAGATTTAGCAGATTTCTTGAATAAACATTTTTCCGTTTGCTGTGTGCCCTAAGACAATTTTCAGAAATTTTAAATGGGGGAATTCCCTGGTGGTCCAGTGGTTAGGACTCCACACTTCCAATGCCGGGGGCCCGGGCTCCATCCCTGGTCGGGGAACTAAGATCCTGCAGGCAGCGTGGCACGGCCAAATTAAAAACAAAAGAAATTTTAAATGTTTTTAAAATTTATTTTTTATTGAAGTATAGTTGAAGTACAACGTTGTGTAAATGGTTGTTTTTTATAATTTCCACCAGTTATGATTATTTCACTGCGGAGAAAATTCACAGAGATCCACACACTGTGATTCTCGGATGCACTTCTCCCCGCCTTATTCCTTCTTTTTTCTCCACTATTCTTTTTCATAGTATTTTATGCTTTTTTATGCTCTTAATCATTTTAAACCTATTGGTATTATAGCCATCATCATCTGAAGTTCCTGGGGGGTCTAATCTTGCTATATGTTTCATACACTGGCTTTCATTCATGATGGGTTATTTCCTTGTGTGTTTTGCAATTTGGTATTGTGAACTGACTTTTACTGGTGCTTTATCCGTGGGAATCCTCTAAGGCTTGGTTTGACGGTATGTCCCCCCAGAACTGTTTTGTATTTGCTTTTGCTAGGTATCCATGGTTATTACCAGCCTACAACCAATACTTATGTTACTTTCTCCGCTTGAGATTGTGCAAATCTCAAATCTATGGGTGGTATAGTCCAATGGTTATGAATCCCCAGGAGAGATTTTTTTTTTTGCGGTACGCGGGCTTCTCACTGCTGTGGCCTCTCCCGTTGCGGAGCACAGGCTCCAGACGCGCAGGCCTAGCGGCATGTGGGATCTTCCCGGACCGGGGCACGAACCCGCGTCCCCTGAATCAGCAGGCGGACTCTCCACCACTGCGCCACCAGGGAAGCCCCCCAGGAGAGATTTTTATGCCACTTCAAGCCTAGGTCAATGCTTATTCATTTGCCTGTGGCCTTCCTGTTTGGGTGGGAGATCTAGTTTTCTGTTCGCCCTTTCGCTGAGTCCTGGATTTATGCAGGAAGCTCAGCTCTGTGCTCTTGCCTCATTTGGCTTGAACGCCAGGTGTCCACGTGCCACCAGTGCTGCCCAAGAGGACATGCCACAGTGATGCAATTGCTCTGTATCTGCTGTTCCGGGTAGTAGCCACCAGTCACATGGGGCTTCTGAGAACTGGAAATGTGGCGAGTGAGACTGAGGAACTGAATTTGAAATTTTAACTTATTTCAAATGATATTTATTTATTTATATTATTATTATTATTAATTCATTTATTTACCTTTGGCCTCGCCATGCAGCTGCAGGATCTTAGTTCCTTGACCAGGGACTGAACCCGGGCCCCTGCAGTGGAAGCGCGGAGTTCTAACCACTGGATGGCCAGGGAAGTCCCAGTTGATATTTATTTAAATACATTCAGATTTAGGTAGCTGCTTGTGGCTGGTCCCCGCTGTATCAGACCAACCACACATCTGAAGCATCAGGTACTTCACTCGCCATTCCAGTTCCCTCTTCATGGACGGCCCCCAGGGTTCACCTCACTCTCTTAACTGCGCACTTAGACTGTTCAGTTTTACCTGGTGTTTTCGGTCAGCTGGGAGGTCTTATGCATTTTGTTCACAATATGGCCAGAATGGAACACAGTCTCTGCTTCCATTTTCTCTCCCCTCCAGCCCATCGGTTCTGCTGCAAAGTAATTTTTCTATGACGCAAATCTGTCCATGTGACACGTCTGCTTTCAAGAGGTCCCTGTTCTCCTGGAATGTAGCCCAAGCTCAGCCTGGCCCCCGAGGTCCTCTGTGACCTGGCCCTGCCTATCCCCTCCGTTTACCCATCATGCCCTTCTCCTTGGACTTCATACTGAAGCCGAGCATCCGGAACTCCTCGGCGTTGCCTGGCGACGTCACGCTGTGCGTCCTCCGTCTGTCCTGCTCCTCCCTGAAATGCCCACCAGTCCCGAGTCCGCGTCCCAGCTGCTAACCAGCCTCTGCTCTCCTTTCCCAACAGTGCTCATGTCCTTTGCTCCTCTAGACCCCATATAGAATTTGGCCGTAACCCTCACAATACTTGACTGTGTTTTCTTGTTTATGTGTCTGTCCCCTGCCCAGCCTGGACTCCTAGGAAAGGACTTGCTGTTTTTAGCCTCTGGAGCCCTGGCTCCAGTGACACTTGCAGGCACTGATGCCGGACCTTCTCCTTTGCCCACGAGGGTAGCGCCTCGCTGTGGGCCGTCCATGGGGTGGCCCAAGCCACAGCCTGGCTCCGGGCCTTAGGGGCGCTCTGCAGTGGGCAGCTGGAGTGCTATTGTCACAGACTCTCCAAGGAGTTCTGAGGCTTCAGTTCCTAGTGAGCCGAAGCTCGCAGCCCCGTCCTGCTCCAGCCACAGCCCCCCGCCCGCTTCCCCTCCACTTCCGGCAGTCGGCACCGTGACTGTGAGATTGGGCACCAGAGGGCCTGCTGGGCCTTTCCACGGGGGGGCCCCGGTGAGGCCCCACATGCTCGTCGACAGCGCCCTTCGGCCCTGCCCTTCATTCTCGCTGTGGAGGGAAGAGGGCAGGCTGACAAACAGACGGTGGGTCCGTGAGGACTGGGCCTTGGTTCAGTGCTGGGAGGGCTGGTCCTGCCCGCTGTGCTTTCCCGGGCTGCTGAGATGACGGGGGCATCTCTCCTCCCTCCCGGCCCATCTGCCGCTGCCCCAGGAGGATGAGGGTGTCAGGTCTCCAAACGAGCCTTACCCAATGACAGGTAAGGTTTAACAGGTGCTCAGAGAAATGACGTTTGGATTCAAAACTGCTTAGTTTTTCCCTGACTCCCAGGATGGCATCCTAGGCTTGTGAGAAGGAGCGTGGTAGGTGGGTGAGAGTACTGGGCTGGGAGCCAGAGGCCTGCCCGTGAGGAGCTGTGTGGCTGGGAGCAGGGCGCCCTCCTTCTGTCTCTGTCCCCAGGTATCGCACGTAAGTTGTAAGCACAGACCTTGGGGGCTTAGGAGCTGCTCGGTGACTGTGTTTTCCCTTTTCCAGATCCTTGAGGGATGTTTGTACTTACCTTATATACGAGAAAGTCTTAACTTCCTTCTTCTCATCCTAGCCACATCTTTGTCAAGCCCATCACGGGCTGAAGCGAAGGGTCTCTGTGATTGTGTGTGTGCGTGTGTACACAGATTTAGACATAACCCAGTGCAAAGCCGAGGTCCCTCTGGTACCCAGACCACCAGCACACTCTGTCGTGTGCCCTGATTTCTTCCCCTTATTATCTGTGGTCTTTTTATTCAGAGCCTCAGACCTGAAAGAAATCGGGTTAAAGAGTCTCATACAGAAGTTACTCTGAGCAACTGAAGCCCATTTCCCAGAAATGCAAGGATAACTTCAAACGGCTGGTACAGCCCAAGTTCCCAGGGAGGAAACCCGTCCTCAGGAGGTACCCTGGGCGAGGGCTGGCCTGATGGGCAAGGGCAGGAGGGAGCTGGGCGGGTGGCCAGGGCAGCAGGTCTGGGGTGGGGTGGGGACAGATTCGCCAGCGTCCCCTCGGCAGCCCAGTTCTCAGCCTGCATCAGCTGCTCCCGCTTCTCCTACTGCTTCGTTGACGTGAGCAGGAGTTGTGGGCCAGCTTTCAGGTTAGCGGCTGGCTGGTGTCCTCCCTGGGGGAGAGCTGGGAGCCAGGCTGTAATCTGTCCCATTAGCAGTTGGCAGCTCCCAGCCCGCTTTTTCACCTGGACCGGCTCCGTGCTGACATCGCCGGACCCGCTGTGACGCTCCTGGATGCGGGCCACGTGCGCTGTTCGCTCCCCCTTGCCCCGTGTGGGTGGCCTTGGCGCCAGCGGGCAGGGCTGAACCTCTCACACCGTGAAGCCTGTGACCAGCTCCAAGAACCGCTGCTCCCAGCGAGAGCCGCTCTGCTCCCTGGCGCGTTGCAAAGCACAGAGCTGTCGGGGAGCTGAGCCCGGCTCCAGCCCAGAAAACAGTCATGAGTAGCCTGTGCTGTGAGTAAATGTTCCCGGGGCTTGAGACACGAGCTGAATGGAATTGCGATGGTCACACCAGCTACCTTTAACACACTCCGGGACAGGCATTGGGCCAAACCCTTCGAACTCGTGCCCTCTCTTAATACAACAGCCTGGGAAGGTAGATGTTGGTCCCTTTTTACAGTTGGATAATCCTAGGGTCAGAGAGGCGAAATAACCGGTGCAAGATCACGCAGGCCACATGGCAGAGCTGAGACCACACCCCGGAGCTCAGCTGCTCCCCACACCTGCTGGGCTGCACGACGACTGGACACGGAGCCGGCGTGTGCCCGGGGTGGGCTGCGGGTGCTAAGCCCACATCTGCCGTGGATTGTTCGTACAGAGCTCTGCACTTGTGGCTGCAGGGCTGCTGTGCTCCCGTCCACGGCCCGTCTGTAGCACATTCACCATCGCAGCTTCGGGCCTATTTTCCACGGAGGCGCCTCTAGGTGCTTAACTTCCTCTGCCAGCTGCCTCTGCCTACTGTTTCCCATTCCCGCTTTAAGACCGTCAGAGAATACTGAAAACCTTGGCTGGGGCCACACGCGCCGCACCGTCCTTTTACTGCTCCTTTCTTCCCCAGCATTTATATTAGAGAGCTGCTCCACTCACTGGAAATTGCTCCCTCCCCCCGGGCCGGTCACTGAGCCGAGATCAGGGCACATGGATATGTAGAAACAGATGTTTGGGGCTCCCAGTCCTGGTCTCTGTAATCAGTGCGGCCTGGTTCCTCCTTCGGTTTTCAAGGGCCTTAGGGAGATGCAGGACGGCCCAGCGGAAAGGGCACCGGACGAAGTAGAGGCTGAAGCTGCCCTGGTGCCTAAAGAGGTCCCAGCCTGGCGCTCAAAGGCATGGTCTACACTGAGACCAAGGCCACCCGGTCCCTAACGCCCCATGGGTTCAGCTGGTGGGACCTCGCCGACCACCTCCCATCCGGCCGCCGGGATCCCATCGCTTCCCCCGGATTCCAACGCTGCGTCCTCCCCGCCCCAACTCCGTGCCCCGGCACCCCTCCCCTTCCTCCCGCCGACACGGCGGCCGGGCTTTCCCGCCTCCCGGCCCCGAATCCAATCCCGGTTTCCCCGCCCCGCCCCCAGCTCTCGGCTGGGCCGCCCCGCGCGCCGTCACCGCCGCCGTCACCGCGCGTCGGCAGCAGCCCGCGCGCGCCCGGCCACGGGGCTCGGCTCCGGTGCGCGGCTCCGGCCGGGTAGGCGGGAGGGAGCCGAGGACAATGCGCCCCGCGCCCGGCGCCCCCCGCGCGGCCCCGCCCCCCGCCCGGCTGCAGCCCCGGTTCCCGCGCGGCCGGAGCGGCTCGGGCAGCAGCAGCGGCGGCAGCGGCGGCGACACCGGCAGCAGCAGCAGCAGCAGCAGCGCGGGCGCCGAGCGGGAGGACGACGACGAGAGCGCCAGCATCAGCAGGCCGCTGGTGCCCGCCGGGCCCCCGGGGAGCGCCGCCGCCTCCTGCGCCTCCACGCCCACCTCCCCGCGTAGCATGACCGCCGCCGACCTGGGCGCGGGCGCCGTCGCCGGGGCCGTCGGGGGCGCAGGCGGCGCCAGCCCCGGCCCCTCCTGCCGTTTGTGTTGCTGCTGCTGCGGTCGCCGGGCTCGGCCGGGCCGCGGCGGTGGGCGCCGCGGCTGCACCCCCGGCCCGGGCTGTCGCTGGGGCTACCAGGCGCTGTCCGTGGCGCTGCTGCTGGCGCAGGGCGGCCTGCTGGACGTGTACCTCATCGCTGTCACCGACCTGTACTGGTGCTCCTGGGTCGCCACCGACCTGGTGGTCGCGGCGGGCTGGGCCATCTTCTTCGCCAAGAACAGCCGGGGCCGTCGGGGCGCCGCGCACACCCACCACCCGCACCACCCGCACGCCGCGCCCCTGCACCTGCCCGCCGCCCCCGCCGCCGCTGCCGGGGCTGCGGGAGCCAAGGCGCGCGGCGGCCGCGGGGGCGCGGGCGGCCTGGGGCCGGCGGGGGCGGCCGGCGCGGCCGGCGAGTTCGCCTTCGCCTACTTGGCCTGGCTCATCTACTCCATCGCCTTCACGCCCAAGGTGGTCCTCATCCTGGGCACGTCCATCCTGGACCTCATCGAGCTGCGCGCGCCCTTCGGCACCACGGGCTTCCGCCTCACCCTGGCGCTGTCGGCGCCGCTGCTCTACTGCCTGGTGCGGGCCATCGGCGAGGCGGGCGCCACCCCCGGCTCCGCGGGCCCCCTGCTCCTGCAGCCCCAGCGGCACCGCGCCGCCGGCTGCTTCCTGGGCACGTGCCTGGACCTGCTGGACAGCTCCGCCCTGGTGGAGCTGATGCTGGACGGCCGCGCGCCGCTGCCCGCGCACCTGCGCTACCTGCTTCTCGCCGCCTACTTCCTCGCGCTCGCCTCGCCGGTGCTCTGGCTCCACGAGCTCCACGCCGCTGCCGCCTCGCCCCGGGGCCGGGCCTCGCGGCCGGGAGGCTGCAGCCGCCTGCTGCGCCTGCTGGGCGGCTGCCTCGTGGACGTACCCTTGCTGGCGCTGCGCTGCCTGCTGGCCGTGAGCTACCAGCAACCGCTCTCCGTCTTCATGCTCAAGAACCTCTTCTTCCTCGGCTGCCGCGGCCTGGAGGCCCTGGAGGGCTGCTGGGACAGGGAGACCCCGGCGTTCCCGAGTCGGGCTCGGGCAGGCTACGGCGCTCCGCCCTCCGCCCCTTTGGTGCCGGGAGCCCCCCAGCTGGGCCACTGCATCTCGGAGGACGAGGGGGGCGCCCACGGCTACGTCAACACCCTGGCTGTGGCGTCCCAAAACTGAGGGGTCTGGGGGCTTGCTCTGGAGTTGGGAGACCCCGCTCCCTGTCCTGCGACCTTCCCTCACCCAGACTGGATCAGCCTCTGTTTGGGGGAGGTAACTGTAAACAGGGCTGAGAGCCAGCGCGCCCCTCTGAACCCCTTGGGTCAAGACTGCTTGGAAGGAGCCAGCCGCTAAGGAGAGGGAGGAGGGTCGCCGGCTCTCTTCTCCTCTCGACGCCCTTCCCCAATCCTTCTCTCCAGGGGCGGGGCACCTCTGCTTCTTGCTTCTCCCACCTCCTCTGATTCCTCTCCCTTGCAGGGCAGAATGGAGGAAAGGGGGGCCCAGGGCCTTCGGCCACCCACCTTGCTTGGACGTGCCAGCTTCTTTTAGGCTGTGGTTAGTGGTCCTTGACCCACACCTTGAAATGACCCAGAATCCCATGCTCCCCTGATGTGTCCATTGCATTTCTTCCAGATGGTAGATGCAAAGTCTGTGTGTGTGTGTGTGTGTGTGTGTGTGTGTGCGCGCGCGCACATGCGTGCGCATTCACGCGTGTGTTGTTTCCTTGTGTCCAACCTGTGCCCCTCACAATCAGTAGGAGATCTGGGGTGGCCCGGTGCTCCCCACCACACACTCCTCATTCCTACCTGGATCTGTGGCCATGAACTCCCAGACAGAGTTGGGCTCCTGGGGGCTGCCCAGTGGCCCTCCTCTGAGGGAGACGCTCACCCAGGACCTTCCTCGATGCCACTCCTTTCCTCTCAGCTGGGGGGAGGGGAGGGTCCATACTCCAAGGACCAAACTACACCTTTTCTTGGGTGTTACTACCTCCGCTTTCCACTTGTGTCGCATCACACACTGATGCTGCTTGCAAAAACTAAGGACAAATACTCAGATGTTGCATTCAACGTGGCCACTGGATCCAGCTGGGGTTCGGTGCCAGTGTTATTACAGGGTCTGCGGAGGGTCAGCCATTGGCCGCCCTCCCTCTCTCCCTCCAAATGTGCCCGTAGCTCCTGTCCTTCCTGCAGCTGGTCGCTGGCTGGGTCATCTTGGCTCAGAACGGCTTTGGTGGGGTTTCTGGATAGAAAACCATGTGAGCTGGGCCTCCCATGGGCCCACAGGAGTAGGAAATCCACCTCCCCACCTGTCCTTCCTTTAGGAAGCATGGTATACATGAGAAAGGGCGGTGGTGACCGTTGTCCTCTGCTCTGGTCACGGGAGCCTCTAGGGAAAAGCAGGCTGCGTGGAGTAGGGTGGCTACGCCCCACCTGGCCCAGCCTCCCTCCCTAGTGACAGGTCACGTCCAGGGGCTGCCCACGTACAGGCTCGATGTGGGACCTCTCGGCATCTTTGAGGCAGGATGAGTATTTTGGGGGGAGGTCAGAGTGCAGGAAGAGTTGAGAGCCAGGCCAGGGGTACCTACTCCCCTCCACCCTGCGGGAGGAGGGGGCTGGGGGAGGTTGTAGGAATCTGTTTCCCTCCCTCCCTGTGCCTGGGGAGCTCCGTGTGGTGTAATAAACTCTGGCCAGAGGGTCAGAGGTCATGGGTTGTGGCTTTGACTGTCACCCACTAGCTTCAGTGACACGTGACTTCCGCTTTCTGGGCCTCCGTTTGGCACTTGGGGCTCTTCTCTCTCAATTTCTTGGGGGCTGTTGACAGAAGACAGACACACAGACGGGGCTGATGGCCTGAGCCTCCCTGCTCTCACGGGTGAGGGGGCGGGGAGGGAGGAACATGTTTGCACTCGATGTCCCTGCTCCCAGCCCCTTGCCCACCAGGTCCAGGATCAGCTGGTTGGATTTTGCAACTAATTGTTCTTTTCCTGCCTTCTCTCCTCCCCAGGACCCCCCTTCTTGCCCTTTGAATTCCATGTGGTCAAAGTTCTGGGGCCCAGATTCTGGGGGGCCCAGGAACTGCTCCCTCTGTTCCCACACCCTCTCTCCAGCTTTGCTGTTTCTCTGCTACCTAATCTCAGCGACTGAGAAGGACTTTGTGTCCGAGCCATGGCCCCAGGCCGGCCCCCTGCCCCACCCCCTTCTCCTGTTTGGACGGCCGTCTCCTGCTGAGTGACCACTGCTGCGACACCTCCAGGGTGCCCGGTATTCTGGTGGGAGGCTGCGGTGGGTTCCGGTGGGCTGCGCTTCCCGGCACCCGGCTGGTCTGGCAGAGGCCAGGCCTGTTCCGGTCCGGCTGCCAGGCGCACTCACCGCGGGACAGGCGTCCTCCTCCCGCCACTTGCTGCCAGCACTTGTGCTCAGGGCGTCAGCCCCTTCCTTCTGGTGTGTTTTTCTTGAGTCCTTTTACTTACTTCCCTTGCCTCATTCACAAAAAGAAATGCCCCGAAAGTTTCATTTTTCTTGTTTTCTGGGAACACCTGTAGCGCGGGGTCCAACCAGAGATGCTGTGGTGTGTCTAGCATCCCCGGGCCCGCGCCCGCGCCCACCGTGCCGGTCACGGAGAAGAAGCTGGGCATGGGTCCCGGGCTGCCCGCCTCTAACGTTGGGCAGGTCAGGCCATCCTCCCCTGAGCCTTGGACTCCTTATCTTTTTGGAAAGGGCTTGGGCCAGACCTTCTCTAAGGACGGCTCCGAGCCCATGAGTTTTCGTGGAAGAGAGCGAGCTGGCAGTCAGAGCCTGGAGGACGGAAGTGGTACCTCGCTGGCATTTATCACGTTCTTTTCTCCTTCTCTTTTTAAAAATAAAACCAGCTTCTGTTCTGAAAATAAAAAACTTGAGACTTGTGACAAGCTTCCTGTGTAGTTTCTTTTCAGATCTTTCCTGTCCTGGTTTCCTTACTAAACTCTTAAATGTCACCGTGGCATCTGTCATCATCTTGCGGGTCTGTGTTAACGTTATGGGTGCACCTTGGCTACTTCCTTCCAGGCGGCTGGCGGGCTCTTGACCCGGCCGGCCTGGTGTGGCCCAGCCAGGCTTCCTCAGCACAGCCGAGTCCCCTGGGCTCTCAGCCCGAGGGTGATTCCTCAGCTCCTGGGCTCTCACTCCTTCTTTCTGAGAATAACTCGTTAGTGGGAGAAGGGCTGAGAAATGACTTTCAATGCTCTGCCCTTCTCTCCCCAGCCAGAAGCAGAAATGCCATCACAAAGGAGAACAGGCCATGCTTGTTTTGTTTTCAACTCAACCGAGTCTGGGGCGTCTAGGAGAACATGGGGTCTGCATAGAAATAAGACTACAGTCGGACTTCCCTGGTGGTGCAGTGGTTAAGAATCCGCCTGCCAGTGCAGGGGACATGGGTTCGAGCCCTGGTCCGGGAAGATCCCGCATGCCATGAGGCAACTGAGCTCGCGTGCCACAACTACTGAGCCTGCGCTCTAGAGCCCGTGCTCCGCAACAAGAGAAGCCCCCGCTCGCCGCAACAACGAAGGCCCAACGCAGCCAAAAATAAATTAAAAAAAAAAGACTACGGTCGTTGTTCTTTAGCACAGAAACATCTGGTGCTATTCAGGGGCTATTCAGGTGAGGCCAAGGGCCCGCCTCACTTGCCCTGCCTGCCCCCCCCAGCTGGGCGCTAGCACCACCTGGCCTCCAGGGCCTTCCCTCACTTATAAGACAGCAGCGACGTCCCCTCCCTCACAGGCTGCGGTAATGGGGCGATATGTGCAAAAACGGTCCTTTCCGTCAAGACATTCACAATCATAACGGGGACAAAACTTACATATACAATAGTTTCAGAACAGCAAAGACCGTGTCTTCATTTCTCCCTAAATGCGGATGGACGGTAAGGTGACCACCTTGACTACGTTTCTCGTGGCTGAGCTGCCCCTCACCTGCTCAAGAGGGGAGGTCGTGTCGGGTGAGTCTGGCCCTGCAGCCGGCCTGGGGTCGGGGGACTCGGGGCCCCGCGCTCCGATGGCCGGCCCCTCCGGGTCCTCGCAGCCCCTCTGGGGGGGCCTCCCCTCCACCCCCGAGCCCAGAAGGACAGAGCCACTTGCTGGAGGCTGCACTGAGCCAGGAAGGGAATCCGGGTCTGAACCGCGTCCGTCGGCCGCGGGCAGCCTTCGGATGTGGCCTCCCTTCCGTTGTGCGGCTCTGGCTAAAAAGCAGGGGCTGGACCCACACCCTTTGAGTCCCGCAGGCCCCCAGTCAGGCCGCAGGCAGACGCTCTTCTCAGGAAGGGAAGGAGCCAGGACACTGCGTCACACTTAGGCGTGAACAACCGAAGGTGACTCGCCCCAGGAAAGGGTGCCTGGGTGTGGGGGCATTGGACTAGGCTTCTCCCTTCCTTCCCCGTTCCTCTGACACTTGGGCCCTCACCGGGCAGGTCTTCGCAGGAGGCCCCTCCGTCGTTTACCTGGGAGGGGAGACTGCCCCCCGCGGAGGGCAAAGGCTGTAGGATGGAAACCGCCATCGTCCTGTGAGCATCATACTCCCCCTTCTTTCCGATTCAAAGGTAAGCAGGCAATCAGTAAAACCCATCACAGCTGGCGTTCAGAGGCCCGGCTCAACCTGCCGAGTGGATGTTTAAGGGATGAACAAAACCCCCTCCGAAACCTGAGGACCTTCCTGAGCAGAAAAGAGAAGCTGGTTCAGGAGCAACGAATCCCGCAAGGTCCATAGCCCCACGCAATCATTCCTCGTCTTCCTACAGGAAAAGCCGTGGACATCCACGAGGGTCACGTGGCCGGGGGTCCTCCTGCCTCCTCGAGTCCCTTCTGTCACTCTGTCCAAGAGAGGAGTCCAGGGGTAGTGGTCACAGACCGCAGGACGTGGGCTCTCGGAGGACCTCTCTGGGTGAGGCAGGATTTTATTAGCCGAGGTTCAGAGCAGCAGGAGAAGAGAGGCCTGGCCTTATTCACACTTGATGTTCTTGGTGTTGGCAAATGGCTGACACCACATTCAGGCTGATGGAATCGCCAGCACTTGCGGCCAGCTGAGACCAGTGTGAGACTGGGGGCTCTGGGGGAGGGGGAGGGAGAGTGGGCAGAACAAGGTTGAGCACCTGGGGAACTTCACAGCTCCGTTCACACCCGCCACGTCCACACAGGCACACCACGGAAGGGAAATTAGTGCTTGCCTAGCGACGGGAGGTTGGGGGTTGGGGTGATGATTAGGGGCTGGGTTTCTCTGAGGGCATAAGAAAAACGTTCCAAAACTGATTATGCGGAAGGTTGCTGAACTCTGAGCCCCTAAAGCCTTGAACTGTACAGGGTCCATGGTGAGTTGTATGAGCTGTGAATCCTATCTCAGTAAAGCTGTTAGGAAAAAAGGCAGGAGTCCTGCTGACAAAGGGAACAGAGTGGACAATGCCAACTGGGGACATCTGGCCTCAAAGGCCAGCAAAACAAGAATCTGAGGTCTGTGGGGAAGGCGATCCACATGGAGAGCGTGCTCCTGGGACCAGAACCACGTGGGCTGGCCATCCTGCCACACGGCAGAGCCCCGGCTCCGGCTGTGGAATCCACACTCTGCATGCTGAACACGCGCTGACTGGAAGCAGGGGGAATGTCTCAGAAAGCCTGTGGGAGTCTGGACCCAATGACACCCACCTGCATCATCAGAGGGATGGTGCCTCAGAGGCTGGTGGATGGGAAGGCTCAGCTCCTCTGTCCCCGTCCTTGTCCGCTCGGGCTGCTGTAACGAACACTGCAGACTGCGCAGTTCATCAACGACAGAAACACCCCTCACGGTGCTGGAGACTGGACGTCCAAGGTCAAGGTGCCAGCAGATTCCTGCTTCACAGACGGCCATCTCGCTGTGTCCTCGCACGGCAGAAGGTCGAGGAGGCCCTGTGGGGTCTCCCAGAAGGGCACTCGTCCCATCCACGAGGCCCCACCCACGCCCTCACCTCCTCCCAGAGGTCCTCCCCAACACCATCACACAGGGGATTAGGTGTCAACCTCAGGATCTGGGGGGACACTGATGCCAGTCTATAGCACTCCCGCACCTGGTCCTCTGCTACCAGCGGGCTGGCTGTGAGCTAAGCACCGTCCGGGGCCTGGGCCTCGAAGGCCTGCTGCTACCAGCCACAACCTCACCACGAGAAAGGCCTCTGCCACGAGGAACTTCTTGACCTATAGCAACGTGTGACTCGACCGCCAGGAATTCTGAGTCAACAAATTTATTCATTCCTTCATTGATAAGCTCTTTCACACACGCGCGTGCGCACACCCTGGTATCTGATTTCCCACCGAACTTCAGAATCCTCTCCTCCGTGCAGGAGCCTGGAGCTCCAGTTCAGGACTCAGGTACAGGCAAAGAGAACCCTGAATCCCAGGGTGGGGACCCCAGCGTGCACAGGGCTGGGGGCTCCCTGTGCTTCCCGAGCTCGGGCGCTGCAGCCCAGGGGCCCAGCCTGCGGCCCCGAAAGAACCCTCGGCCGTAGGTCTCCCACTGACCGAGGCCACGCTGGGCTCACGCCATGCTGATGCCGTCAGGCGCCACGACCCTCACTTCTATCTGGTCTCTTTCCGAAGATGACTGGGTGTGTTTGGCCCTCAGCCTCCTGATGGCAGCAGCTCATCCTGGTGAAGGAGCCCCCGCTGCACCCAGCCTGGCCCCGATGCCTCCCCAGGCTGCGCCCACTGCCCCGCCTTCCGTGGCAGGCTCGGTTACGGCCCTGCCCCGCTCGCCTGCAGCCCTCAGCCCGGGAAACGAGCTGCTCCTTCGGCTCAGACACGTCCTCCTCCAGAAGCTTCCCCCTGGGCCAGGCACCCCTTCTGCGGACTGCACGGCCCCGGGCGAGCTTCTGGCAGCCTCTGCATCTCGCGCCCCACCCCGTGTGCTACCCCGTCCCTCTCACTGGAAGGGCAGCTCCCTGATGGTCAGGGCGATGCGGGGCACAAAATAAAGGCTGAAGGAACGAATGACGGACACCCAAGGACACCGCCATTAGCTCCTGGGAACAGGCTGTGGGTTCTCGCGGGGACGGTCACGGGAAGAAAGGTTAAGGGGACAGAGCCAAGATGTTTACTTTTTTTTTTTTTTTTTGCGGTACGCGGGCCTCTCACTGCCGCGGCCTCTCCCGCTGCGGAGCACAGGCTCCGGACGCGCAGGCTCAGCGGCCATGGCTCACGGGCCCAGCCGCTCTGCGGCGTGTGGGATCCTCCCGGACCGGGGTACGAACCTGCGTCCCCTGCATCGGCAGGCGGACTCTCAACCACTGCGCCACCAGGGAAGCCCCAAGATGTTCACGTTTTAAAGGTACACATCTCACACATGAGCATACACACGTCCACACGTGCACACCTACGGACACATGTGCTCACCACCCTGGGTAGGGGAGGCCCCACGCGGCGGCCCCTTGGGCTCCAGGCCAGGGTTCTTGCGAAGCTCCTGGAGGAAGAGCAGCAGCTGCAGGCTTCGCAGGCTCTCCAGGCCCTCGGGACACAGCGGCTGCCCGCCCGGCTCCCCGCCCTGGTCCCCGTCGGCGTCGTCCGGGAGCTGCGGGGAGCTCCTGGAGATGTAGCCCTGGTCGGACTGCACAGACCGCCGCTGCTCCCCCCCAGGGGGCGTGCGCACATCCTGGCAGCACGGGCTCTGCTGCAGAGACGGCAGCATGGAGCCGTCTGGCCACCCCGTGGGGCTGCTGCGGACGGGCGGGTCCTCGGGGTGCATGGGGAGGAAGAGGATGCTGTTCCGCCCCGGGCCCCAGCCGCCCAGAAGTGGGCAGGCCTCGTCTCCCCCAGCCAGGGCCAGCCGGCTGGCGGCACCGCTCCTGACGGCCCGAAGGATGGGCTCCACCGCCTGCGCTGGAGGGGCCCCGTCCACCGGGACCACCGTGGTCTGGAGCGTCTGGGCCGCCGGCTGCTCCTGGGGCCAAGGCTGGGGCTCCAGCCGCGACGGGCCCCCTCCTTCCCCCGCAAGGAGCAGCTCCACCAGCAGGCTGCCCTGGGAGGCGGGTTCCAGCACCAGCGGCTCCTGCCGGACGATCCCTCCTCCCGGCGGCGGCTCCTCGAAGGCCTCCTCGTCCAGGGACGGGAGGTCCTGGTCGTCTGCCGGGCAGAGGTTCTCGAGCTTGAACCAGTCGGGGCGCTGGGCCTGCCAGCGGCGGAAGCGCTGCACGGCCTCGTGGAGCTGCTGGCCACTGGGGCTCTGCAGGTAGTTCTGGGCCGTGAGCGCCCCGACGCGGTGCATGCGGCCCGGCCCGAACATCTCCAGGTCCTGGATGCGGAAGTAGACCTCCTCAAACTTGTCCATGAGCGCGTAGCAGGAGGTGATGTTGAAGAGCTCGGGGATGTCAGCCTCGCAGCTGATGTCACTGAAGTAGCAGACGATGTAGGTGCCGAAGCAGGCCGGCCTCTTGAAGTCCGGCAGGATCATGTTCATGGCCGCCGTGAACAGGTCCCCCGCGGGCTTCCCGCGGTCACAGCGAAGCTGGACGGCGGCGTCCTCCCAGCCGAGGATGGCCTGCCACTTGGCCCGGGTGCCTCGGGAGCACAGGACGATGATCTTGGAGTTGCCCTCCACCACCTCCTGCTTCCGGCGGCCCACCCAGGTCATGACCCCCGCCTCCGAGATGGCCTGCTCCTCCAGCAGGTCGAGGGCCACTTCGGTGCCGCACACGGTGAGCAGGAACTGGGCGAACTTCAGGACCACGTCCACGTAGAGGGGGTGGTCAGCCGAGTAGACGATCCAGACCTTCCTGGGCTTCAGGGGTGGGGGGCTCAGGCTGGTGGCAGCGGGCGGGACGTCTGAGGGGAACAAGGAAGCCAGGCCGAGGGTTCAGGCATGTCGGCGCTGACCACACACCCAGGCCGGGGACAGCCCCGCCCGGCTGGCCGGAAGCCTCCCGAGCCCCCAAAACGCAGCTGAGACCTCAGAATAAGCCCAAGGCGGCGGCCTCGACGTGCTGGCTGCCTGTGAAAGAGCCTGTGCCCTCGGGGAAGAGTCTCCCTTTTTTATCTGGCCTTTAGCCTCCATGTTAATTAAAATTGCTTTTTTCCTTACAAGACACAAAGGCCCGTTTACACACAGCTGCTTTCGGGAGGACCTCTTTTCACAAAACACGGTGCCCAGCCTCGCTGTTTGAGGTCCCCTCTGTTCGGAGCTAGAGGTGGGTCCCCGGCAGGTGTCATCTCCTGAGGGACAGGAGCTGACTGGGTGGCCCCTCCAGGCCACTGTGAACAGACTCACCCCAGACCCAGGCCGCCCAAGCCGGGAGGCGCCCACCTGTGCATTTGCTGCCGTTTTCACATTTTCCGTGACGGGACCCTGAGAGGAAAAGAAATGCCAGAAGTGATACTCCAGAAGTGTCCTTGCAGGAAGCACAAATCTTACAAGATGGCTCAGAACGGCTCTTTTGGAAGAGAAACAGGGACCAGCTCACAGGGGCACCTGCTGGGAGCTCTGCCCCACTCCCGACCAAGGGAGGGGTCGAGGTAGCATTCTTAGACGCTCTGGGCCTCTGCAGGGAGACCGTCCCTTCCATGACCGCTGTGTGACCTGCGGGAGGTATCAACGCCTCTGAAACTCAGTTTCTTCCTCTGTGAAATGGGTCTATGTGTGAAGTGGCCGGCACACCCCACCAGCTGGGTCACACAGTGCTGGGTCTGCAGCACTGACCTGGCTGGGACCCCCAGAACGGTGCCTGGGAGGTTACACCCCAACCGTGGCCATCCCCAAGCAGAGCTCGCCTTCAGGGAAAGCCCCTTCCCCAGACGTGTCCTTTCAGGAGGCAAAGTCTTCCGAGATGCCTCCAGCAGTAGTGCCACTGGGCCCCTTACATTTTCTCCTGGTATTTTTTCTCTTCTTTGGCCACGCCTCGTGGCTTGTGGGATCTTAGTCACCCAACCAGAGAGTGAAGCCAGGCCCTTGGCAATGAGAACGAAGAGGCCTAACCACTGAACCGCCAGGGAAGTCCCTCCTGCTGGTGCTCTGGGGTGAGGAGGTAAACCAGCGTGCTGAAGTGACCACTCGTCCTGGAGGCAGCGAAGGGCCCGTGGAGCAGGGCTGACTCACCAGAGCCACGCGGCCAAGGAGGGCGTTTGGAACCTTGATTTCAAGCCCCACCCTTTGGGCCTCTGCCTAGAACTCTGAGGTCCTCCCTCGCCCCGAGGAGCGGCCGCTTCGGGAAAAGGTCAGACGCGTCGCACGAGAAGCAGGCGGCCTCCCGGCGCCTGCAGAGGCCTGGACGCGGGACCCTCCCAGGGAAGGACCCTCTCGGCAGGTCTCGCGCCCGCTGGTCATCTTCCCCAGCGTGAGCTGTGGTCACGGGGAAACGGCCTCCCAGATCGGGGTCGTGGAGGGGCAGGGAGAGGCTAAGTCCCCACCTCAAAGACCCGTGTTTCCTCCTGCTTAGAACGTGGCCAGAGAGGGCCGCAGCCGGAGGGAACCGATGCTTATTAACAGGCTGAAGGGCGGGGACGCGTGGGGCTGTGAGCACAGTCCCCCAGCTGGTGCAGGGACGAGGGGCACAGGAAGAGAGGCGGGGCAGAGGGCAAGCCCCAGGTGGGCCCACAGCCCCTGGCCTTACCCGGTAGCCGCCAGGCCAGGCAGACGGTCAGCAGGATGACGGAACCCACGAACAGGATGGAGAGGCCGGGGATGCACCTGGACACCCACAGGGGCATGTGGTCTGTGGCAGGAAAACAGCGTGATGGCGTGGCAGGGAGGCCTGTGACACCAGCCCCGGGGGCCCGCCCGCTGCCCTCCCTGAGCTGCCCTCTCTGCTGGGCCAGCCCTGGGGTCCTCAACCAACCGCCCACCCTGGGGGGTCCTCCCTGACACCAAGGTGGGCCATGGTCCCACCACCCAGGGCCGCCTCCTGGTACAGCCTTTCTGCCTGGCTCCACTCCAGGACACAGGGACCTCTGTGTCCCCTGAGGCGGCAGAGCCTGGGAGGAGTCGGCCTTACCTTCAACGGCGTCTGCAATGAGAACCAAGGGACAGACTCTCAGTTACTAGCAGCAGTCACACACCCAGCACCCGCGTGCCGTGCCAGGGCCTGCTGATGGCCCGGCCCGACGCCCAGCCCTTTGTACAGGTTAGTAAACTTAGCGACACCACCTACAGGGGACACCTGAGCTGGTGGCCTACTGGGAGACGCCTGCCTCCACCTGGAGGCCGGGTTCCGTCCAGGCCAGTGCAATGCCTGCTTTTTTTTTTTTTCTTTTTTGCGGTACACGGGCCTCTCACTGCTGTGGCCTCTCCCGTTGCGGAGCACAGGCTCCGGACGCGCAGGCTCAGCGGCCATGGCTCACGGGCCCAGCCGCTCCGCGGCACGTGGGATCTTCCCGGACCGGGGCATGAACCCGCGTCCCCTGCATCGGCAGGCGGACTCTCAACCACTGCGCCACCAGGGAAGCCCCTCCACTGCTTTTTGATTGGCGTCTGCTGCAGGAGGCTTCTGAACGGGAAGTGGGCAGCACGCTGGGGGCTCAGGTCAGAACCGGGGCTCTGCCACTTCCTCGGTGTGTGACCTGGGACAAGGTGCCTGACATCTCTGTGCCTCAGTTTCCTCACCTATGAACCTGGGGGAGGGAGTCTCCACTTCATGGTATATATTACGTAGTACACAGTACTTAGTACACAGCACTCAGTATAAGGTACACAGTACACACTTAGTACAAAGTACATAGTACCCAGAACCCAGTACAGAGTACTTAGCACACAGTAAAATATACTTAGCGCTATAGTACACAGTACCTATACTGTGGTGCACAGTACCCAGTACTTAGTACACAGTACGCAGCACACAGCACTACAGTGCACAGCACCTAGTATACAGTACTTAGCAGGTAGTACTATGACTCACAGTTTGTGAGAATTAGAAATGGACACGTTAGAGCACCCTGTTCACTACATGGTCCTTGACTGTAACTAGGACAATAAGAATCCCCATTTTTCAAATCACGGAAGTTTTGAAAGGTTAAGTGCTTTGCCACACAGCTAACGAAAGGCAGTCAGGAGTCCAACCTGGAGTCTCTCTAAGGCCCCACAGCGCAGGCCTGGACGACGTCAGGGCTCGGTCGGCCGGCTGACCTTCACCCGCCCTCCCCCGGGTGCGCCCCGGCCGCCGTGCGTCTCACCTGGGGTGTGTGGGACCCCTGGGCAGGGCACGGCCACCGAGTGTCGGAGGCAGTCGTTGAGGCAGCTGCTGAAGAAGGGCTGGATCTGCAAGGACAGAGCGCAGGGAGGAGAGGCAGGGGGACGTGTCCCACCTCGGACCCTGCCGGCCCCTCCAGGACGTCCCCGCAGCTGCTGGGCAGGAGGGGGCAAAGGGCCCTGCCCAGGTGAGGCCAGGGGCCGGGCAGGAAATCCCAGGCGGTAGCGGTGCTGGGTCGCTGGGGAGCACGAGCCCCGGGCCGCCCACCCCGTCCCCACCCCTGTCCCCACCTGCACGTGGTGACGGCAGCACCAGCTGAAGTCTGGCAGGGTGAGTGTGACGTTGCAGCACTGCCGGGTGGCCTCCTGTGCAGGCTGCAGGGCAGAGGGGCAGTGAGGCCCTGGCCTCTGCTGGGATGCGCCCCCAGGAGGCCCCAGGGAGAGAGGCTGGCAGGTCCCGCTCCAGGAGGAGCGGCCCCTCCCCAGGGCCGTGGCTGTGTGGACTCAGGACTGCATCCAGCACCCAGCTGCCCCGCTTGGCTTTGGCCGCTGGGGATCTTGGGGACGGACACACCTGTCCTGCACTGGCCCTACCCTGGCTTCATCTTATTTCCTCACCTTTACTCCCCTTTGTCTTCACTTCACATTTTAAAGTCTTCAAATCCTTTTTGCAATAATGGAATTAACAAGGCTAAACAAAAGAGGACCAGGAAAACGTGGGGGAGGGGAGGACAGAGGGCCGGTGTGCAGGGCAGAGACAGCCGTGTCCCGTCAGCTGTCGGAGCAACTACACACCAGCCACACTCCAGTCACACGTGGGAAGGGAGGACGGCAGCCCAGGTCACGCCCTACAGCACAGCCTGAGCGCCTGGGCCTCGAGGCCTGGAGAGGCGGCTCTGAGCCAAGCTGGGGGGGTTAGGAGAGCGGCAGAGAGAGCAGTTACCACGTCCAGATCCACGACGCGCCGGAAGCAGCTGCGGTTCTCCGCAGGCAGAAAGCTGTCCAGCAGGATCTGGTATTTGGTGGACTCGTTCCACGGTGTGAAGCTCAGCTGCAGCTGGTGGGCCTCGAGGATCTCCACAGTGATGTTGGGGTCCCACAGGCTCCCTGTCCCCCAGGGGCACAGACGCGGCCGGGAGTGAGGGGCGAGCACGCGTGCAGGTGTGCGTGTGTGCGAGTGCACCCAAGTAAAGCCCCCCACAGGGCTGCCCGCCAGCTACCTGAGCTCACGCAGGGCGTGGTCATCTTCATCCTGGGGTCCTCGCAGTCTGTGGACCGGGAAAAAGTGCAACCGTCACGCGCCTCCCCTGGAAAGCTGGCTCCTGCAGGGCCTCTGACACCAGAGCTAACAGCCTTCTGCCTCTGGGGAGCCTGCTCAAAGCTGGCCCTTCAGAGAAGCCCCAGGACAGACACTGCCATGGGCCAGAGGCCCCACAGGCCTGGGACCGAGGGGTCCTGGTCCACTCCTGCTTCCTCTCCCCCCGGGCTCCCTCTCCTGAGCCGCCTCTGCCCTCGAGGAGAGATGGACTGTGTCCCCCTCAGCGAATGGCAGCATTTCCCCAACTTTCCCATGTCCTCACAGTAGTCTTGGGTTCAGCCCCTCTGGGGTGGGCCTGGGAAGCTGCATTTCTGACAAGTTCCCAGGTGATTCCATGGTGCTGCGGACGCAGGGAGCCCGTGGGGACCACTCCTCTGGAGTCTTCTTGATCCCTCCATTTCTTTGACTGCAACGTTTTTACTTTGGTTTCAGAAGGCACGAGAGAGGCGTGAACCACCGCGAGTGACAGGGGCTGAGCCAGTCCGCTTTAGGGACGGGGAGGGGGCGGGGGGGTCACTCATTTGACAAATACTGGCTGAGCCCCCAATATGTGCCAGGCCCTGTGTTAGGCCCTGGAGATACGGTGGTGAGTGAGACAAAGTCCCTGCCCTCCAAGGATGACATTCCAGTGGGAGAGACCGTAAAAGCAAATAGCGTAATATCACGTCACGAATATGTCAAGATGATGGAACGTCAGGGAGCAGGGAGTGACACGAGGGGCAAGAAAGCCGGGTGAACAGATCGTGTGTGCACGTATGTGCACATTTGTGTGCATGTGCACATACAGGAGTACGCATGTGTGCACGTGTGTGAGCAGGGGGTGCTCTGGAGATGAAGAAGGCTTCAACAAGCATTTCCCGATCACCTCCCACATGCAGGGCCACTTGTGGGGGTCTGGAGGCTGCACAGGCGGGTGTGGGGTCCAGGCCCTGTTCTCAAGGGGCCGGGCGTCTAGGTGTGCTTGGCTCTTAACAATGAGAAAAGCAGGCAGTGGCAGAGATGCTGGGGAGGACAGAGAGGCACCCCAGAGGTGCACACACGTCAAATGATGCTTTGGAAGATGAGCCCGCCAGGCGTCCCAGGAGGAAGGAGTAGTGGCAAGAGGGGAAGGCGTGGGATAAATGCAGGTGGGACGTGGGGGAAGAATGAGGAACTGAGAGCTGGGGCGGGGCTGGGAGCAGGGCCACAGCTCTCCTGGGACTGGCTTGTGCTCCTGACACGTTCTGGGCAGGAAACGTGCACCTTCAGCCCCGCGGAGGGACTCCGGGTCCCGTGAAGCTCCTGGGTCGTGGGCCAACACCCACTGTTTGTGTCGCAAGAACGGGCTCCGCCTTCAGGGAGTGGAGGCTGTGGCCACTCAGCAAACAACCTGGCCCTGCACCTGTTTGTCCCGTGGGTCCCACAGGCTGACTGCAAAGTGAGGGGTGAAGGCAAGGCTGGGGGGGGGTGCTCTTACCGGGCACCAGGAAGTTTCTGGACTGGTGGTTTGGGTCCCCGTCAGGGATGGGCTTAGGCAGGTGGTGGACGGTCACCTCGTACTCCTGGCCAGGTTCCACCACGAAGTGGCTGAAGGCAAAACGCCACTAGGAGATGGGAGAAGGGGAGTGCAAACAGGTCACGGCTCTCACCCACCTGGGCCCAAAGTGCACCCCATCCACCCCCAAAGGATCAGTCAAAAGAGGGAGAAAACAACCAGAAGAGCAAGCTCCCAAGTCGGAGGCATCTGTTTCTCTGTTTTTCGTTTCTTCTGGTCTTTCTTGCTTATTATTATGATTTTTTTATTAATTAATTAATTTTATTTTTGGCTGCATTGGGTCTTCGTTGCTGCGCACGGGCTTTCTCTAGTTGCGGCGAGCAGGGGCTACTCTCCGTTGCGGTGCGTGGGCTTCTCATTGCCGTGGCTTCTCGTTGCGGAGCACGGGCTAGGCACGTGGGCTTCAGTAGTTGTGGCACATGGGCTCAGTAGTTGTGTCTCGTGGGCTCTAGAGCGCGGGCTCAGTAGTTGTGGTGCACGGGCTTAGTTGCTCCGCGGCATGTGGGATCTTCCCGGACCAGGGCTCGAACCTGTGTCCCCTGCACTAGCAGGCGGATTCTTAACCACTACGCCACCAGGGAAGTCCCTTTCTTGCCTATTTTAAAAAACCTAGATCTGGCCTCATCAGGAGACAGTAGGGGCCAAAAGCAAGAGAATTTGGGGAAAGACGAAAGAGCCCCCTCCCTCATCGGCCCTCTCCAACTCCAGAGCACACAAGGGGCAGCTAAAAACTACTTGTTAAGTGACTCTGCCTCCTTAAATGGGAAAGTCAGGGGTCTCTTGAGAATGTCCTGGAGCACAGAAGTGCAGCGAGAGGGCTACGAGGTCCCCCCTGCCCCCCTGCCCAGGCCTGACAGCATCTTTGTTGCGCAAACCTTTTCTGGATGGTGTAGGTGACACACGCTGACTCCAACTTCCCTGGTGGAGTCCGTGGGGGTCCCTGGTCCTCACCACCCTCCAGCAGTAGTTTGGGGGTCCCCACTAAACACGGGACAGGGGATCTATCTTTGCTGCTTGTGTTTGTGGGAGCCCTGCCAGCGGCCACTTTCCAGACGTAAAGCAGCGTGTTCAGATGAGCCTGGGTCGGGACCGCCTGGATCGCTTGTCACCACCAACCGCTGCTGTTTAGACACCCACAGCCTCTGATTCAGGAAGTCTGGGTGGGGCCCTAGAACCTGCATTTCTAACAGCTCCAGGTGATGCTGCTGGTCTTGGGACCACGCGCTGAGCATCAGTGCTTTAACCAAACTCAAAGAGAATCCACTTCCGGCTCTGGGCAGCAAAAGGGGCAGCAGCTGCAGCAGAAGCCACAGCAGCTCCGGTCTGGGCAGAGCCTCTCCTCCCGGAGGTCCCGGGCTGACCCAGGTACAGGGCAGGCTGGCAGGCGTGGGTCACAGAGCCGCAACAGCGAGCGGCGACATAAGGTCGGAAGGAAGAGCGGCGTGTGTGCGCGTGTGCGCGCGTGCATGTGCTGTTCCCCAATGGTCACCACCATCCCCGCCCCCGCCCCCCGCCCCGGCTGGAGTCTTACCCGCTTGTGATGATGCTTCAGTGTGGACAGAAACTCAAACTTGACACACAGACGTTCGTTGGTGTTCAGCTGCAAGATAGACAATTCCGCTCCCTCCAGGTAGAGGATGCTGGCTGCAGGGCAGAGGGAGGGAAGGGGCCACAGCTGCAGATCAAGGATGACTAACCGCCGGGGTGGGGGGGAGCACGTCCCGTCTGGGACGCTTGCCCGTCTTACCCGCCCTCCGCTTCCTGCTCCTTCCAAGCTCCCTTTGGGCTGTATTAGCCACTGCCTTGTGGACAGCTACCCCGCTGGACACGGACAGCGACACTTCACCCAGGGCTCGAAGCGAACGCTCTGCAAATTCGTGGCTAGGGCATTGGCGACACACTGTGGGTGTCAAAGGGGCGTCCCCGAACTTGAAGAGGACGCAGCAGCCAGCGGGGCTGGAGCCTCAGGAAGAGGACTCCCCCAGGCCGTCCACAGGTCTGGGCGCCCTGGTCACCCGCCCCTGAGAGGTTGGGGCACTGCTGTCAGGAAGGCCAGCCCCGCAGTCAGACAATTCACGAGCTGACGCCTTTTCCGGGGTGACGAAAATTTTAGGCTGAAGAAAGGCCTGCCTTGCAGGATCGTGGGTTAACATCCAAACACTGAAAAAGGACTCACTGCCTGAAACGATGGGTCCTCGCACTAAACTGGCCCCTCGCGTCTGAGCACAGGGCTGGGAGCCCAGTTCTGAGTCTGGGGGGAGGGCCGGGCGGTCCAATCTGTGGGCTCACCCGGAGGTGGGCAGCACGTCCAGACGCCCACTCACCGTCTGTCTGAAGCGTCCACTCGACGTGAGCCACGGGGAGCAGGTGTCCTTGCTGCGTGTGGACAAAGCGCAGCTGGGTCTGCACGTCTTTGGGGGGCGAGGGGGTCAGGCTTCGAGGGTGGATCCAGGTGTCGTCCAGGCAGGTACCTGGGGGCCAGGAAAGGCAGAAATCAGAGGCTGGCAGGCTCTGCAAGAAACCAAAGACACAGACCAAAGAAGACACCTCTCGGGGGTCCAGGGAGCCAGGCCTTCACGGTCAGGCCGTGCCCGAGACCGCGGCTGTGCTCTCAGCTGCCCAGCCCTGCTCGCTCTCCCGATGCCTGTCTGGGGTCACGGCAAAGCTCTGATGTCTAAAGGGCACCTTAGGAGAGACGACAAAGCATGCCCTTGGCTTTGAGAGGAGGCAGTGGCTGGAAGTGGGGCAGGAGAGTGGGGCAACCAGAAGAGCTGCCCTATTGTCATGTGCGGGGTGCCTAATGAGCACAGACACTTGAACTGTGCGCCTCCTCCTTGAATTAAAACACAAAACAAGGTCCCACCCCAGATGTCGCCCACTTCAGGGTGACAGCTCTGGCGAAAGAGTCGTATTACACATTCACCAGGGTAGCACCCCAGAGAAAATCCTAATGACAGGCCTGTGCCTCCCATCCTGACTGCTGCACGATGAACGTCCTTGACGGAGGTGCAGGTGCGGCCCCAAATCTCAGGGGTCCTCCTGCTGGGGGCTGGGACCCTCGTCAGCTCAGCGCGGGGTCAGCGCTTCATCGCGGCAACATGAGAAAAACAAAAACCGGTGACTTACTGTTCTTGACTGTGCAGTTCAGCCCCTGCGGAAAAGAGAAGCAGGTAATCACAGACAAGAAAGAACTTGAATCCACACGCCGGGCTCTGGCGTCCCCGGGCTCATTCTCAAGAATGAAACACAGGCACCCTCCCTCTCTCTTTGAGGGACACTCTCGCGGGGGGGGGACCACACTTCTCTCCTGTCAACTGAGGAGACGCAGGGTGAGAAGTGGGCATAGCACGTGGCAAATGGAACTGGCATTTTCTGAGTGCCTTTAGGAGCTGGGAGGCACCTTAGCCTCTTTCCCTGCCCTGATATCAGAATGCTGGCATGGGGACTTCCCTGGTGGTCCAGTGGTTAAGACTCCACACTCCCAATGCATGGGGGCCTGGGTTCGATCCCTGCTCGGGGAACTAAGATCCCACATACTGCAACTAAGCCCGCGTGCCACTACTGAGCCCGAGTGCCGCAACTAGAGAACCCTGTGCACCACAACTAGAGGTGCCACAACAAAGACCCAGTGCAGCCAAAAAAAAAAAAAAAAGAATGCTGGCAGCCAGGCCCAGAGAAAAGACCTCTGGATTTCGACACCTGAGAGTCGCCCAACAGACAGGCCACGTTCACCACCAGCCTGACCCTTACAGTAAGTTCAGTGATCAAAATGCCCGTCTACACAGGGCATCCAGTCAGCCTTTAGGACCTCAGTCTTGAAATATTCTCAGACAGCCAAAGGGTACCAGATATCTGAGAAGGATTTCCTGTATGAAAAATACGTCAAAACCCCCCAAATTAAAAAAAAAAAAAAGCTCTTGGAGGAAATAAGACAATGCTGGGAACAGGATAAAATTAAAACAAACAAAATGTAACAGTTTCACAGAAATAAGAGAGGACACTTCATCCACATGAGAAGGACAGGGTACTGTGGAAAAGTGAGCAAGCAGAGAATCAAAACAAATCTTGAAAATAAAAAATTCCACAGAAGGCCTGGGCTATAAAATTCAGGAAATTTCTCCAAAAGTAGAACAAATACAAACAGAAATAGGAGAAACAGTATATGAGTATTTAGAGAATCAATTGAGGAATGATAAGACATGATTAACTAGATTTCCAGAAGAAGACTACACAGAAAATAGAGGGAAGAAATTAAAAAGAAAAGAAAAAGAAATTCTAGAACTGATTATTTCCAAATTAAAAAGGCCCACTGAATGGCCTTCACAGCAAATGAATAAAAGGCCTAGACCAAGGCCCATCGTGAGACTTCCGGAATACCAGGAGTGAAGAGAAAATCATAATGTTTACAGAGAGAAAAAAATAGGTGATACACAGAGAGGAATCAGAGTGGCATTGGCTGTCTTAGCATCTGTGCTGTGGGCTGGAAGGCAGCAAAGCGGTGCCTTAAAAATCCTGAGGGAAAAGTATCTTTAACCTGCGATTTTTATACCCAGCCAAACTATCAAAAAAGTGTGAGGCGAGAATAAAGACATTTTCAGACACATAAAGACTTAAAAAAAAATCGATTCATCTATCTATACTTCTCACACCCTCATACTTTTTCTTAGGAAACTGCGGGATATGCTCCAGCAAAATGAGGGAGTTAACCT